CCAAAAATATAAGTATTTGATGTGATTTACCATAAAATAACCACCAGTATAAATTATAGAGCACTTTTGTCAAACTTGAAAATGGATGAGTGTATTTAAGTTGGCTGGCAGGTTGCTCTTTTTTGCAGTACTTAAAGTATCTAAAAAACATTACACATGGTGTCATTTTCATTAAAATATTTTAAATGGGTATATTAGCAACATTTGCTTGGTTTAAAGTTGTTCCAGAGATTAATAGGGCTGCTCTCGTGTCTCTGGGAGTTCTGTTGCGGACAATGTTGGCAATATGCAGATGCACCCATTGGAACATTGTCTTTTATGATGTAAATTGAAGGTTGTACACGTTACCGTGTCCTTGCTACTTTCGTTGTGGTTGGAAATGCACTCGTTATTGTCGATTCATCATAACCTTGAAAAACAGCCATGCAGTTCCCCTTTACCTGAAAGAATCCTGAAAGCCCTGTTCATGAATAATCCATAACTATGCATTGTCTCTCTCGGAACATTGTAGGGAGGTTTATGTAACAGTGGATGTTCCTCCTATAAAGCAGAAATCCGCATACCTGGTCCTGTAGAACTCCAATCCAGGAATTTATACAAGTTACCCTAAATTACTCATCTTGGAAGATGAAAATGTTATTGAGCAATTTTGCATGAAATGGGTTCAGTTTTTAAGGTGACTTCAGTCCTTGATAGCTGCCAATTTTTGTTCTAAATGATTGCTAAATGACTTAGGTGGAAGTTAAAAGCATTCAGAAGTATTCAGAATTTGATGATTTAATGGTTACTTTTAAAATCTGCTGGACTGGGCCTCTCGCGGTGTGGGGTGTCAGGATGTACAGTAGGAGAGTGCCGTAAATTCTTTTAAGCCAAGCAAACAGTCTTTCTGATGGTTCGTAAAACCAGGTTCTCCGGGAGAGAAAAAGCATGGTTCAGTGCCTCTTAGATCTGCAACAGTGAACTCCTCCAAGTTTGTGAAAAAGGTGGACTGTGTGATTGTGTTGCACGGGGGCTGGCATTTAAAACTGCAGCCTCACAGCCCTTGGGTCTCTGGTTCAGTTCGACCAGGTGTATCTTCTGTTTAGAAGTTCAGTGCTCTCGCCCGTGTCTGTGTGGGTTTTCTCTCTCTGCTCCCCATGAAGTGCTGGATAGCTTCATTCCAGATGGCTAGGCCTCCCTCTAAAGTACCTCTTGGTGCCTGTATACTGTATGTACTCCTAAGATGTCCAGGGTCCCGGGTTGCTGCAACACTTACTAGGAATTAAGAGCTCTCTGGTAGTGCTTGAATGTACATCCACTCCATTGATTCATTTTAGCTTGGGTGCACATCTTCCAGTAGGTATGTATGGCCGTATTCCTATTAGAGCTTTTCCTTGTAGCTCTTTTGTCTTCAAAGGCAGCAGTTCTGTATCCTTTGCTAGCACTTAAGACATTTGCAGCCTAAATTCTTTTCAGTGGTTGTTTCCCTGGATACTTGTTCACCTGTTGCTAGGTTACGCCACAAATGGTTACTAGGCTACCAAGTAGCTGATACCCGTGAGGTGTCATGTGAGAAGCATTTGATAGGTATTGGATAGCATCTAGTTCACGATATGGAAGGTGTGTTTGTGTGTGGTGGAGGGGTTCTCTGGAGAGAGCCATGCGTTTTTGTGTCAAAACATGCCAGTTTAATGCCTGCCTTTTCGGATCTTTCTGGAGAAGGATTGAGGGCAATCACCTGGATACCTTTGTGATCCAGCTCTTGGATATGGAAGAACAAATTTAATTTAATTGTCTCACTTTACTTCCAGAGTTTCAGTTGATTCTTTCTTTGCAGTACCTTTTCACTTATCCAGCTCCCTCTATCAATACGTGCTCCACAGCAAGAGCAGTCAGTCGTTCCACCTGAAGTGCTGCCTCTACAGGGCTGGACAGTAACCATCCTCTACTGCAACAAGGTCCAAACAGACTGCTGGCACAGACGGCCAAGACAGCGGGGCTGGAGACGGGCTTGTGTTTGGTTGATAGAGCACCAGCAGGGATTTCTGAGAGTCTCGCGTGGGGTGGGTAACAGATGAACAGAGGGCCACTCTTTAGCAACCCTGCAAATCACCAGCTCATAGTCGATACCCAGACAGCTATTTCTCTTAGTTACTGGACTACAGTAAGAGGCTGTAAACAGCCACCACAGACTTGTAAGTACATGGACACAAATCAGTGACTCGTTTCTGACAAAGGTCTATCTTTTAATGGCTTCTTCCTTACCCTAGCTCTTTCCCCGTGCACAAACGTCTCGGGGGCAGAGGAGGGTTGAACTGCAACACAGGGGGGGAAAAGTACTCCTTGCGCTGGTTAGAGAGACACGGGGAAGCCTTGTTGTTCAGATCGGTGACTGTGCATGAAGTGCCAGAGCAAGGTGTCCGTTCCCAGGTGTTCCGGAGCTGAAGGTTGAAGATGAGCTCTCATTGCCTCTGCTTGCAGGAGTCATTTGTTCCACAGCCTTGACTGACTCCTCGCTCGGTGACGTCAGCAGCGTGGTTATCGCCACTGGGATGTTGTGGTTATTAGTCCAGATGCTTTCTGAATGTTCCAGCAAGCTGTTAGAATTGTGCCTTTGTTTCAGTCTAAGTATTGCTTTAGATGTGTGTGTGAAGAGCTGGTGGGTGTTTGATTTAGGGCATCTTATCTCTGTGCTGGAATATATCTGGTAGAAGGACCTGATCTATTAGAAGGAAAAGACTTTTAGAAGCTTCCCAGAAGGACAAATCTCACAGGAGACCAGATGCTGTCTTTGATATAATATAGTTTTAATAGTTTTCTGTAGCTGGGTCTTACTGCTGAATTTTCCAGATCCCCTGTGATTTTTTTTGTTGGTGGTTGTCGGAGGAATCGTGTTGTCATGTTTTGTTGTATGAAACTTCCTTTCTGTTTGTGATGGATACTCTTGTGGTCTTTCACAGAAGTGTTACAAGTAAAACCAAATTTCAAAACAGTGCCTATTTAATTGGTTTACTTTTTAAAAAAATACCCTTGAATTGCTCCATGTATATTCCAAAGCTGGGTAGAAATTTTCTCCTGATCCAATGAACTGCTTCAGGTCTAGCATCTTTCCCAGCTCAAGTCAGTTGTCAGTGGTGTACCAAAGATACAGTTCAGACAATGGTTTAACAATTGCTTACACTTATATAGCGTTTTTCTGGAAACTCCACTCAAAGAGCTTTACAGGTAATGGGGAATCCCTCCACCACCACCAGTGTGCAGCCCCACCTGGGTGATGTGATGGCAGCCATAGTGCGCCTGAACGCTCCTCACTCATGAGCTATCAGGGGGGAGAGAACAGGGTAATGAAACCATTTCATAGATGGTGATTATTAGGAGGCCATGATTGGGAAAGGCCAATGGGAAATTTGGCCAGAACGCCCTGGGATTTGTTAATGACCACAGAGAATCAGGACCTTGGTTTTACATCTCTTCTGAAGGACGGCACCTGTTTATAGTAAAGTGTCCCCATCACTATACTGGGGCATTAGGACCCACACAGACCGCAGGTTGAGCGCCCAGGAGGTCTCCCATCCAGGTACTAACCAGGCTCACACCTGCTGAGCTTCTGTGGGCTGCCAGTTGTGAGTTGCAGGGTGCAATGGCTGCTGGTTGGTTTGTGGTGAACGTTTCTCGATAGTTTCTACAAAATGGCCGACCTGTGATGGTCCTATACTGTCTCCAATAGAAACATCTAGACTTCAGCAGCGATAATGCACAGCTCATGAAATCCCCATCTGTGGAGTGAGTCAGTGCTGTGCTTGCAGGCATGCATGAGTTCCACAAGGAACGAGAGCTGAACTTCAAACTGGGGACAATATTGTGCAAAGAGTTTACTGCAACTGAAACTCTTTTTTTACTGTTAATTGGGGGTGGTCTGCTCTTCAAAAAAACTGCTGATCAGTAGCACATAAGCAAAGTAAGCGCTTAAGCTCCAAATATACAGAGCAGTACATTTTTATAGCTTTTCTTGTTTTTTTCATGTGGCTCCTATAAAGGCTGTCAGGTTACTAAGTAGGGAAATTTTAAAGTTTAAAATTCATTTAGCAAAACAATCTGATGTTAATTTCACCTTGGCTTTTTTCCCATAAGAAATCAGGCTTCAGACACTTGTAAAAACACTTGATCTTTAAGGTCTCTGTTTAACCCCTCGTCCTTCCTGAGTTACAAAAAAATGCTAGGATTGGAATCCCAGGGGTCTGCTGTACAGGGATCCAAATTCACAAAAATGACTTTTTGTGGTCTGTCTGGGCCCAGTACAGGAAAAGTCGTTTTTGTGATTTTTTTTGTTTATTCATTTAAAAACCTGTAGAACCAAAGAAGTACAAGAAAAAAAAACCTTCTTCCCACTCAAGTATCCCAGACCAGATCACAGTAGACATTCACCTGACCATGTCTGCAGCAGTATGTCTGCTCTCAAGACTGCAGATAGGATGCTGCTGTTAAACTCATGGGCAAGGCGGTAAACTTGAATTGCCCCTGCTGTGTAAACGGGTACTCTCCAGGTCAGTATTGGAAATAAGAATTTGCTCTCAATTGACTCACCTGGTCAAAGCATTAAAGTTAAAAAACAGAAACTCAAGCCTCCTCTGGCAACAGGAATCTGAGCAGCAGAAAGCTGTATTCACAGCAGTATTCCAAAATGTTCAGAATCCAGTTATGCTAGAGAAGGGTGGGGTTCTAATGAAATGCCCATATATTTGTAGCTATAGTGAATTATTTCTGCTGTACAAAATACTGTAACAAGGGACTTTAACTTTCATCTAAATGGTTCGTATTGAAAATCCCCAATCCATTGGGTAATGAAATTGCAGTGGCATAAAATGTCATTGTGGTTATCCAGTCTTTCTCTACGGGGGACAGGTCCTGCATCTGCTCGCACTCCACTCCAGCTTTGCATGGTCCCCATCCAAACTTTCTGTGCTGTGTACTAGTCTGAACCTCTAACGAAGTCTGACGCCTAGTTTCTCCTGTGCTTACAGGTCAAAGACCTCACCCGGTTCCTGGACCCCAGTGGCCTGGGAGTGATCAGCTTTGAGGATTTCTACCGCGGCATCACAGCTATCAGCAATGGAGGTGAGCCGGTTCACCATGCCATTCAGCGAAGGCCTGCTGAGAGGCTGTGCCAGACAAAGCCTCCATGAAATAGACACTCTGGACAGGTGCAGCAGCCTATGTTTTGCACCTCTTTAAATATTAATTTTAAAGTGTAGGCAG